TGCACCTGTAGGAGCAGATACACCTGCAGGAGGGGGTGCACCTATAGGAGGGGGTGTGCCTGTAGGAGCAGATACACCTGCAGGAGGGGGTGCACCTGTAGGAGGAGGTATGCCTGTAGGAGCAAATACACCTGCAGGAGGGGGTGCATCTGTAGGAGCAGATGCACCTGTGGGAAGAGAGGCACCTGCAGAAGATGTATCTGTGGGAGGAGAGGCACCTGCAAGAAGGGCGTTGGTGACAGGAGACCATGGGTGCCCAAGGGTGTTAGAGGTTGGCATCCCCTCTGAGCCTCTGAGAATCTGCCCTGGAGGCTCAGCTTCAGAACCTGGCAGGCCTCAGGTCTTATCTTCTGGGGAGGGGGGCTGTGAATTTCGCAGTACATTTTTTCCCCATAGTGTCAGTAGCTAGGCCCTTTGAAGGTGGGTAGTACCTGGCTTTGGGCAAAGGTATGACCAGGCCTGGCATGTGCACAGGACAGAGCCCCCCCACCTCCGTCTGGTTGCCCAGCAGCAAAGGTTCTCTCTGTCCCTGAGCCCTTAGAGCTGCAAAGATAGATATAAAGCCATCTTCTCCCTTGGGCTGCAAGATCTTCAGACTGTGCTTGCCCTCTGTTTGGCCTCCTCTTCCTAACAGTCTGCCTGTTATACTCCATAAACAGAGATCGCATGAACATCATTTTTGAAAGAACACTAGGAGAACACCTGTCAGTTATCCTTCACTTCCACAAGGATCCGGCATGGCAGCAAGCATCTGGTTAGGCATAAAGAACTACCCGCAGTGAAAATCAAAGAGGGACCTGGGACTATGTGCTGTCCATCCCCAGTGATGTTTAAAGCAACACCTGCAATGCTCTGCTTGTACCGTCTGCTCTCGCCTGCCCGGAGACAGGCTCAGCCCAGGGAATGAGCCCTCTGGTCCTAGGGGTGGCTACGATTCTTACTGGATGTCTCAAAGGACCTCTCCGGAGGCTCCAGCGAGGTGGACTTCTTCCTGCCCAGGTTCATCAGGTTGCTTAGTTTGAGGCCAGCAGAACATTTCTTCTTGACTATCAAGATGAGAGAGAAGCAGTTGGCATTGCACGCCGTCCACCCCCATGCCCACGAGAGAAGGAAAAGTAGCAAAGCCATCCCCACATCCACCCATTCCTCCCCCACGATGCTCACATGCACAAATGTGTGCACACACATCTGCCCCCAACCAGGGTCCTCAGGGGGTCAAGTATCTCTAAAGCCACACACTCAAGATGGCCTCACACACTTCTTATAGACTATGTCATCACTGAAACTCTATAGATGATACCGGCTCAAAGAGATTTGACATTGGATTAGCAAAGAAGAAGGATGAAAGAATATTCTATCCCCAGAATTTCATAAAACTTCACTTTGATTTGGCCATCTCCCCTTTTTCCCTGAATCTATCTGTGATAGTTATTTCCAAGTAGTTTATTCATTGGAGGCCATGTTAAAACCAGCTGCTAAAACCCATCAGAGTTGAGCCGGACAGCCGAGTCTCTCCTTTGGAAATGCCCTCTCCCTCCCAACTGTGAAAGGGGATCCATAGTGTGGTTACCATCTTTGGTTTCTGGGACCTCCTGGTGGCTGTCTGTGGAGCTCCCATACTCTGAGGCTGACAGGTACTTCTCAGCTATATCTGGCTGTAGAAAAGAGAGAGAGGGATGGATGGATGGATGGATGGATGGACGGACGGACGGATGGGGATTGCTGGCATGGAGACTATAAGTTTAGGCTCTTGGGTATATCCCAGAGGTTCCTGACCAAACCCTCAGTAGTTAGCCAAATAGCAAGTTAGACATTGACCAACTTCCCTCTGGGGCTCTGTGGAGTCCCTGCCCTCCCTCTCCCTGCCTGAAGGCCCCTGCCCCAGTCTAGAGCACCTTCCCCATCTTCCTCAAGTTATCCAAAGGCTGCTTAACCTGGTGTGACTGGCCTGCAGCCAGTGGGAGGGGCAGGCAGACTGCCTCAGGTGGCAGGAGGGTCCACATCCCTAATGAAGTTGGGAACCACCAATACTGGGAATGTGAGCAAGTCTTTTGAGAGCTCGCTATTCTAGCAAAATGTCAGCTTCAGAGAAGGGCCAGCTTGTCTGTGCTCCCTCTGCAGCCAGGCCAGTGCCTGAGGTAATGGAGCCTCCTGGGCTTCACCCTGTGTGTGTCAGGTAGGGACAATATCCCAGTGTGCAATCACAGTGGTGTTGGGGACTACAGATAAGCCCTACAAAGGTGTAGCTGCCGCTGCTGTTAGAATGAGAAGCATTCAGAATATTCCAGTCAAGCTTCTTCTAGGGAACCGCCTACCCAAGACCTCTAGAAAACCAGCAGATGGATTCCAAAGCAATAGGACCAGCCCTGGACAAGCTCTAGGGCTGTGGCACCTGGCCAGGGAAGCCCTACACGCTAAATCTTTAGGGACAGCTCTTGTTTCACACCCCAATGTGAAGAAAACCCAGATTCACCCCAGCTTTTCTTATCAGTGGCCAAGGAATGAATGAGACAACAAAAATATTAGCTCCTCTGAAGTTATTCTGGAAGGTCTGTGGTATTTCTCCATATGGGACGGCCTGTGCCCTCTCTGCTCAAGCCCTCTCTGTGCTTCCTGCTTTCTTCCCTGCCAGGGTGGGGGCCTCAGAATGAGTCCCGGTGATCCTCTGGCTGTTCTGTGCACACCCAGGCTTCAAGGCACCTTCAGGGACAGGAAATGAGACCCTAAAGGTAATAATCTTATTTTTGTCCAGCACCAGCCCAATTTCCTTGGCCTTGGCCTGTAAGGCCAAAGCTCCCCCACAAAGCTCCACGCAAATGAGCATGGGATGCCTTTATTTGGGGTCAGCAGTGAGACAGTTACTCTCACCCAGAGGCCCCCTCTGTGGGAGTAAGTGGGAAGGAAAAGCCTCATAAAATAAACCTCTCCCGAGTGTGGCTAGAGGTGATTGTGTTCCAATAAAGCTTCCCCCTGGAGCAAGAAAATACTTTAGGTCTGTATCAGTTTCATCTGTTTCCCTGCCAAGCTAAAGTGACTGCTCTTATCCAAGCATTGTGTGTTTCTAATTGGGCTGAAATGCAAAAACAAAGCTCCTATTTTACACTTTTAATTTTTATGGAGAAAACACAGACGTGAACCCTCCCTCTAGGCTGGAGAGAAGCAGCTTACTTTCTGACAGTTAAGGCGCTGGGCATCTGGGGCATATTGGTTTCCCTCGGATACTCCTTCAGAAGGCAGGCCACTCACCTCCTGGATGACCTGAGCAAGAGGAAAGTGTCAGCAGAGGCCCCCGTGGGAACCCCTCCAGGTCAGGAGAAAAGGGACAGAGGTAGGGAGATGTTTTATGTCCAAAAAATGAAGCCCCACCCCCTGCCTTGGCCCCGGGCCTGCATGTAGGCTGAGGCCTATTGGGGCCAGGCCGGCCGAGGGGAGGGCTTATTTGTTTAGCCCCTCCCTGCAGGCTCCCAGGAGTTCAGGGGAAGACCAGGGGGCCTTTGTGGCAAAGCCCAAGGATGACCAGAGCAGCCAAACCTCGCCTCCCTGGTCCCCTTCCTGCTACCACTCTGGGCAGGGAGGCTGTTCTGCTGTGGGTGTGATGAACAACTGCTCTCACTGGTGGTTGCCTGGCTTTTGGGGGCTTGTCTGTGCTGCTTGGGGAGCAGGCCTGCAGGCTGTTGGCACTCACGACTGGCTCCCCAGATATCCCTGCTGCTGTCCACCCTCACTCCTCTGGGAAGAGGCCTTGTAAATGGCAGCCCGTTCTGGGCCAGATGCAAGGGTGGATTTTTAAGGATCCTTCTTTTCCAGTCTCTGCCTAGAGCAGTTTGTGGAAATGGGTTTAAAATCATAAGAGGCAAAGAACAAAGGAAAGTGTGCTATGGGGCAGGGAAACTTAAGGCATTTCTCATTTCTCAGATTGACTGCAGGTCAGGACTGTGGTCCACCTTGAATCTACGACACAGCGTCATGGACACTGGAGTCGGCAGGTTAGGGGTCCAGCACCAGCCCAATTTCCTTGGCCTTGGCCTGTAAGGCCAAAGCTCCCCACAAAGCTCCACGCAAATGAGCACAGGATGCCTTTATTTGGGGTCGGCATTGAGACAGTTACTCCCACCCAGAGGCCCCCTGGGCCTCAGCCTCAGTCACAACATCTGTAAGCTGGGACAACACCTATGCCACAGTGTGGCTGCGAGGACTCGTATAAAGTACCTGGCACAGGGCGGGCAGGTTTGCTACTGCCCCTATTAGGGGCCTAAATACATGGACGTCCCTGCCCAGGGGAGGCACCCTTGGGCTGGGAGCTCAGGCCCAAAGATGTATGGGTATGTGGGGAGGTTCAGCTTCTCTGTGACTTCCTTGTCCAGGACCCCTATCCCGTAGTCAGTACCTGTCATTTATTATCATATATCTGTCCCACCCTGGGCACAGCTACTGCAGAATTATACAGAATTGGGACACAGGCCAAGGCAGGCAGCTGGGTGGTGAGCCCACTGGGCAGGCTGACCAGCCTCACCCACCCGCACGCGTGGGCAGCTTCCCCAAGTGGCATTTCCATCCCAGCCCACCCTGCACTCATCTGAGTGGGTGAAAAGGGCCTCCCTATGAAGGCTGGACGCAGAGAAGTGGCGCCTTCTGAACACATTCCTGTCTTTGAAACCACCGGCAGAGACTATGGGGGCTCAGGAAGAGGGTGTGAGAATTTGTGGAGGGAGGCTGGGGGTCAGGGAAGGACAGGTGGGTCCAAGCAGGCAGAAGATTAACACTGGGAACAGAGCTCAAGAGGAGGTGTGTGTGCGCGCATATGCACACAAATGTGTTTGCACACACATGCATACGTACGTACATGCACACGTGTGCATAGTAGGTGAAGACAGGGAAGGCTGGCATAGATACAGGAGACCAGGGTGAGAAAAGAGAATCAAAAACCAAACCGGCAGCCCAGAGCCCTGACCCTAGTCAGCTCCACAGTCCAGGACAAGCCACCAGCTCTCCCTGAGCTCAGCGGTCTCCTCTGTCCTGTCCGAGTTTCCTGGACACTCAGTGTGTACCAGGCATAGTGCTAAGCACTTTGTGTGCATTAAAAGAACCAATCCCACATCACTCAGTTAAAGTGGGGTGAAGACAGGATTTAAACCCAGAGCCTGGCTCTTAAGCGCCCAGGCTTGCATGGTCTTTCAGAGTGTGTTAGTCTCTCAGGAACCCCACCCCCATGGAAATCTGTGAAGCTGGCCTCAGTGTGGGGCAGGGAGGCCTCCCCGTCATCATCACTGCACCATAGCTGAGCGCACACCTGTCTATCACCACCAATGACCTGATCCCGGGCATTGGTGATGGTAGACAGCATGGCACTGTGGTCTGGCAGCCCTAGCTCTGAAATCCAGTGTTGCCGCTCACTTGCCAGGTGACCCTGATCCAAGCCTCAATCTCTACCCTATATAACAGGGACACTAACATTGCCCAGATACCCCCAGCATGTTTAGGTGGATTAAATTTGCTAAATGCCCTTTGTCTGTGGTAAACACGTACCACACAGCAGTGACATCTATTCCTTAATAAGGAGGCTGGTGGGTAAGTGGATTCTAGCCTCAGCCCCAGGCCACTGAGAAGTCTTTAGCCCCCGCAGCAGAGTGCTGTGACCCATTTCTGTGATGGGTTGCTCCCATGCAGGATGCAGGAAGCCCAGGGAACTTGAAGGATCACAGACCCTCTGCCCTTGACCAAATCATCCATCCCTTTAGTAAAGTGGCAGCCACATCCAGGAGCCTCCCACACCTGCCCCTGCGGCCTGGTGTCCCCCTCACCCTGAGCCACTGCTCAGCCTGGTCCTTGCTCTGCAGGCCCAGCACGATCACGTCAGCGTTCATGGGCGTGATCTTCAGCTTGTGCTCCTTCTTGCGCACTTGCTTCTCCTTATGGATGACACTGCTGCCCAGCAAGTTCACATCCAGCTGAGGGCTATGGTCCTTGGAGGATTTATAGCACTGGAAGAAAGGAGACAGGATACCACGTCTTTGCCAGACTTAGGCAGGTTCTACAAAGGAGGGGGTACTGCAGGACCTACTGAGAGCCCTGCTTTTACCCAGAAAGACTAAGAGGTCGGACTCCCCAAAGCAGGCTGGAGGCTTAACCTCCAATGTGAGCAACTCTTATCATCAGATTGTCACTTTCTCCTCTAAGCTTCCTCCTCAGCAGCCTCAGCTAGGGATATTCCAGGACTTTGCTATCCAAATGGCTCTAACTTGCTCTAGGCCTGTGGGCTCCTAAAACATGTCCTCTGTGGACACCTTTCATGTACCCAAGGTGGAGCAAACTTCTACCTTTTCTCCACCTCTCTGCATTTCTCACTTGGCTTCCTTAGCAAAGGATGCCTGTGGCATAAATACTAAGGTGATGTGTTAGCAAAGAAAGGAAGGGACTGTCTTCCTCTGCCAGAGAGAAGGCTTTGCCCTTGGTTCCCCACTTGTAAAATGGGGGTCTGTGCAGGGTCCCTAACAGGATTACCTGAAATGACCTTTGCACAGAGAAGAGCACCTTGTAACCATGAAAGAAAGGTGTTTATAATAATTTCATTTCTTTCAAATCGGGACATAAAACTGGGAATTTGAATATAAAATAGGAGACAACACTGTTATCAGAAGATTCTTTAAGAATCTTCCCTTATAATCAATAATTCAAAAATACTGCCAATACTGAGAAGATATCAATGCTTCTCGTGCTGCAAAAATGAAAGCTGTAGCCAGAATTGAGGCTGGGATTCTAGGGGCTGGGGATGAGCTAGGGGACCCCTGACAGGGATCCAGTGGTCAGGCTACGAGGAAGGACCAGAAGACAGAAAGACGTGTCTCTCTCAAATACAGAGGCTGGGATAGGATGGGGAAGGGAAGCAATGGCAATCAGAGCCCACTCTGAGAGCCTGATGAAAAGCCCTAGACCTTTCTAGCACACAAGAAGCCCTGTCCATATACGCAGAATCCTGCACACAACTTCAGCTGGGAAAAGGCTGGAAAGCCCTAGCATCAGGCCCCATCCCGTCCCCCTTCCCTTCCCTCCTTTGGACATGACATGGGTGGACTGACCAGGAGCCGAGTGTCCTTGATGACGCAGAGCTGCTTGGCCCACTGCCCCAGCCACTTCTTGCGCCACAGGAAGGCACAGATGCGGGCGTCACGCATCAGCTCGATGCTGGCCTCAGGTGAGGGCCATTGGTAGGGAGCCAACCTGCCCTTACCGCTGTCCTCTTCATCGTAGGACTCATAGGAGCTGCTCACGGCCTCTCCGTCCTCTGCAAGGAAAACTTGGTCAACAGCCACCGGACAGAGGACAGTCCTGAGCCAGCATCACCAGGCAGGGCAGTGGGCAGCAGGCAGGACCAGCAGCAGCCCAGGCCACAACACCCACCCTCAGACCAGACCAGCGGCCACCAGCCACAAGCCAGGACTGGTTCTCCTGCCCCAACCCCCTCAGCCAAGCTTCTGGGATGCAGTCTCCAGCCACAAAACATAAATAACTCAAAACCAGAAGTCTCTCCCATGTCCTCCTCAAATCCTGCCATCTCGGACTCCACAGGAACCCCTGAGAAGACAGCACTGCCCCTGAGAAGGCAGTTCCTGTACTCGGGGCCCCTGTGTCCTCAAATGAAGCATGAATGGGTGTGGTGGGGACAATTCTGGATTCTCCCAGGCCTGGCGCTCTGTCATTCTGAGGGCCATCAGAGCCATGGCAGGCCCCTGACAGGCATCCACCTGGCAGGGCCTGGCTCTGCCCCAGGTCAGGGAAGGGGCTTTAGCTCCTCGGAAGTAAAAGGCGAATAAACCTCAGCAGAAGGTGGTTTCTGATGAAGGGGCCACCTTCTCGCCCCCAAATACCCTCTCCTAGTCATGGCCCTTTTTAAAAATCTACTTCTGTCCCTGACAGCCTCTTCTTCCCCTGCACTGAACACCTCCTGGCAGAACGTAGCTCCTTTACCTTGTTTCTAACCTGCCCCCTTCCTCTTCCTCTGGCAACGGGCCAACCTGGTTTTGTTGTTCTGAGCACAGACTTGCAGATGATTCTGTACACTCTCCCCGGCCTCACTTTCTAGTTTCTGCCCCCACCACCCTGCAAGAGTTGTTCTGTTCCCTGACCCCACTGCTCGATTCCCGCCTAGAGTATCCATCTAGCCACCCACCCACCCACCTATCTATCCATCTATCTCAGAAAGGCTGAGCATGGAGAAAGGGGAACCTCAGGATCTCAGCCCTCCGCCTGCTCAGCACAAAAACACTGTCTATTATAACTCTGATGCTTTGCCTGAATTCCCCGTGGACGGGGAGCTCCCTACTTCTCGATCATAAGACATTTCCTTCCATTCCTGGGCAGCCCTAACAGTCAGAAAACGGACTCGACATTCATCTCCCTGTGGTGTCTGCACAGCAGACCTTGTTCTGCCCCCTGGAGTCAGGCTTAGTGATGTCCCCTTTCATGTTATCCCCATGACACCTTCAGAAAAGGGTCAGCCCATGGGCCCGTTAGGCTTCTCAGAAGACTCCAGAAGCCCCTTTACCTGCATAGCTAGGTCCCTGCACAGCAGAACCACATTTGAATGAGGATCTAAGAAAACAGAACATGGCCCTTGCAAGTTATTGCAGTTATGCTGCCAATGAAAATGTGTTTTATTGGTGTTGTAATAACACTTTAAATATTTTAATATCAGTTTTCTTTAAAAGCAGCATGGCAGTACTCCTTTTTATGGCTTAACAAAAAAATTTGCATGGTTTATAATTTTATACTTATTAAATACCCAAAGATTGAAAATAGCAGTACTACCCAGTGGGGAACCCTAAAGTTTCATATTGTGGGTGGCAACGTACATTAACACAAGCCTTTCAGAAAGTAGGCTGGGAGTCTGTTGTTTCAAGAGCCATTAAAACCACCCATATTCTTTGATCCAATAATCCCAGTCCTGGGAGTTTATCTTAGGAAATTAGTTTTTTTAAAAAAAGAGGAAGAATGGTTACATGCATTAAGATATATAACTTCATGAAGTTACTATTTAACAGCAGAAGGAGACTAGGTGATTAAATGATGATTTCGTCCGCTTAGGAACATACCGTGCAATCAAGTAAACCTTAAGAACTAGTCCGCAACGTGAAAAATTCCCTAAGATTCCATGATAAGGAGTAATAGCACAATTAGAACTATGCATGCAAATAGATCAGCACTGTACGGCAACAGAGAGAGCTCAAAATAGTGAAATAGTTGATTTCATGGGGCAGTAGGATCAGGGTCATAGTAAAGATTTCTTCTTCATTGTCAGTATTGTAGTATCTGTGTAATAAGTAAAATTTCTAATGTCACTGGGATTCTTGCATTGGTTAAAAAAAAAAAATTAACAGAGGGAGACTACAGCATTTAATGTGAAGACTGTGGGTAATGCCCACTGCTTTGTGCTTCTGGGGTTGCCCCCGTATTTCAGGAAGGATTCTGACACCTGCCCACTGCCGTCCATGGAGGCATCAGGGAGCCAACTACAAACAGCAAATCATACTCCTGGAGGAGCTTGGGGGAAATGTAGGCAAATGGGGAAGAATTTTTTCTTTTTTTATTTCTCCCTAAGACGAATCATAGCACACCATAAATGCAGGATATTCTTAAAACAGACACTTGGCTTTCAGAGCATGCAGACTGAAGAGTTTAAGAATGCTCAGCTAATTCCACCCCATGCTTGCCATCCCCAGGTGAATTGCACCCCACTGTGCCCTGTAGGATGTCCTCAGGGACTGAGGGCAGAATGACCACACATACTCTGGGTCTTTCAGCGACATGTTCCAATAAACACAGGCAGGGGTCCAAGGAAGGCAAAGGAAGTCACTTCTCTGGACAGATGGCACACAGGCATGCACATGCAGGACCCACACACAAGGATAGGCAGAGGTCAGGGGCCACTGTGGGACATGCACCCATCTGAGACCCAGGCAGCAGGCAGGGATCTCCGACATTCCAACTCTGGAGACAAGCAGTACCCAAGGTGATTGTGGCGTAAATGACTCCTTCAGGCACCTGCACCCATCTGGGGACTCCAGTGGGGAGAAATCTGCCAGAATGACCTGCATGATATTCAGAAGCACAGACAGAGGCGAGAGGAGAGAGAAGAGTTGAAGAGAGGAACACTGAGTGCAGAGCCGCAGAAGAGGGACCCAGACGGGGTAACATGGCTGCCTCCCTGCCTGCCAGCGGTTAGCACTTGTCACCAATGGAATGTGGGCAGAACTAATGTGTTACATTACTCTGACTGGTGGTTCTAAGAAACTGATAGGGGTGCTCTGTTCTTTCTTTGCAGAGGATTCTGGGGTCCAAGAGGGTGGCCAATCCAAACATGGATGCAGCCTGGGCACCTAAGGCCATGAGGATAAGTAACGCCCACGCTGACCAGCTCTGTGGGGGAGAAGCAGGTTTTCATCATGTATAACTGAAACCTGAGTATGAGACACCATCAGCGAAGTATCTGATGTCTCAGGCAAGCAGGACAGACCTCAATATCTCCAGCCTGAGTATGAGACACCATCAGCGAAGTATCTGATGTCTCAGGCAAGCAGGACAGACCTCAATATCTCCAGCACAGGCTGTCAGGACACTCGCTAAATGCTTACCTGGACTAGAGGAACCTGAGCCACTGGGGACACAGCTAGCAAAGCAAGACAAGAATCCAAGTCACTGGTCTTTTGTAGGAAGTCAGCAAAATCGCTGTTGGCCCACCAACTAGAGCAAGGGGCTGCAACCTGCATGTCACTCACTTAAACAGGTACTGGGGACAGCAGGCAGGAACTAAGGCCAGGCCACCTTGCAACGTGGGCAAAGCCCTTCCTCTGTGCTAAGTGTGACCCCTTCTCCCCAAGTCAGCCCCAGGCCTTGCCCTGGCAGGACAAGACAGGGCAGTCTCCCCCCACACCTTGCTATTTATTTCCACAGCTGGACTTCCTCCAACTCAGAGCTGTCCTGACCCTTCCCACACAGTGAGTTCAAGCTGCCCTTGTGACGCCCCCCACAACCACTATGAAGTCACAGAGACAAGCACCAGGAAGCCTGGTCTTTCTGACCGCTTGTTTGTGTCAAGATGGGGCATCTGTCCCATAAACAGGCCCCAGGCGCGTCTGGGAGGCAGGCCCCTGCTGGCCCCGGCCACACCCGAGATAGAGACAGGCTTAAGACACTCAGAGGTGCTCACCACATGAGTCACTGTTCCCACTTTCAACATGGGCCCAGACAGCCACACCACGCCCTGGGCTTTGGTCTGAAATCACAGCCCGGACCTGTGAGGGTAACACCTCCCATTGCAATGGGTTAATGCTCAGTGATGTCTGCCCACAAAGCCAGCCTCTTAGAAAAGCCTCTGTCTGAACAGGCCCTCCCCTCCCCTCCCCTCCCACACAGTCCCCTGCTTGGGGGCCATGGGGAAACATGAAGGAGGAAGGGGACAAGAATCCAGGTCCTCTACCAACCTAGTCTCCTCTTATCCCTAGTCCTAATCTTTATGGAACCAGTGTAGCCTCCCTTCTGCCAAGTTCATTACCATCCCTGGGCCCCCACCTTTTAATCTGAAAATTGCTTTATGCTTCCAAATCCCTTTACCCAGGAAGGAAGAAAGAGATGGAGGTCAGAGGGAAGGATGAGTCCAGCTTTCCTAGACACTTAGGTCACAGCCACTTCCTCCAGAGTCTTGGGGGCCTTCCTGTGTGGTGGCATCTCCACCCCACCCTGAGAGCAGTTCTGATCTAACGGCCTCAGGCTGAGAACCACTGGCCAGGAACTGAGGGTTTCCGTGTGAGCCCTGCCTGCACAGCCTGTTTGCAGTGTCCAGGGTGATCCTTCTGATACCTAAGTCAGGTCAGTCACTCGGTAACCCTCCAGAGACGTGCAGTCCGTCTCAGAGAAAAACCAGCAGGCCCGGATGTCCCTATTATCTCCATCTCCTATCTCCCCTGCACCTGATCTTGCTGCTCCTCACACTGGCTCAGAGTACCCCTGCCTCAGGACCTTTGCACATACATGCCTCTGTCTGCAGATCTCTGCCTATGGCTTTGCCCTGGCCACTCCCCCTCCCATTCAGGAATCTGCCCAAGGTCATGCTATCAGAGAGGCCTTCTCTTCCCCAAACAACACCACCCCCTCCACCCTCATCCTACCACCACTGACACATTCTGTCCTTTGTTGTCTATCTGCTCTCGCTACGTATTAAGTGTTGAGATGGCAGGACTCATTCCTGACATGTTACAGAGCACATGTCCAAGGAAAGAACACGGGGACTGAGCCTGCCCGCCATCTCCACTGCTGACCAGGCCTCAGGCCCCTTGGCCAACACACCTCTCCTCTGTCACCTCTCTGTGCTGAATCCAGCACCGTGCAGGTGGGAACACGGGGAACCTCAGACACAGTGACCCTGCTCACTGAGGACCACCCCTCGCCCCTCCTTGTAGATAGGCCATGCGTCTTGGCTCCCTGTTGAGACTAAAGGCAGATGCTCTGTGGCCTGCTCTCAGTTTGGCTCACACTCCCAAACTCTCAGTTTGGTCACAGCAGCCCAGACTGACCTCTGCCTTCCAGCCCAGGATGAGCAGCTAGACCCCCTCCAAGCCCTGGCCGCTGGGATGTACCATTGAGGGACGTGTCATAAGGCTCAGCCTCTTCGTAGTAACCCTCTGGAGACTCGATCTTTGGGATGGCAAGCTGTTTCCGCTCTGGAATCTGTGGCATGAACAAATAAAACAAACGTTTTCAGATATAATATACTGGGAGCAACCTGGGATTATCCCCCTGGGTGGAAGGAGCTGGAAGTCCAGAAAAAAAATGCCCAACTAGACTTCACTGAGCAGGCTGGCAGGGAGAACGCAGAACATCATGAATCCCATTAGTGGCCCAATCCTCAGCACTTCCTTTGCAGCTAGAGGAAGGGCTGTGGGTGTGTTGTGCAGCCGGGCTGAGATTCGGCTCTCTCCCCTGTGAAATGAGGCTCCAGCTCTCTACCACACACACAACATGTCCTGAGGCATATGACATATATGCTTCAGGGCCAAAGACTGTCTGGCTGCTGTGGGAGCTATTATGTCTTTTAAGTAGAATATGCTTTCCAAAAAAGTCAAGGGCAAACCAACCACACAAGAAGGAAGAGAACCAGGTTTCTCAACTTTTGTCATATTATAGTTCCATCTCTCTTTCAGCAAATACTGGATGGCTCCTGTGTCCTAGCTGCAAAGGACCCATGCAGCACAATGTCAGAGGTCAGTCAAGACGATGGCTCACGCCTTTAATCCTAGCACCCTGGGAGGTGTGAAGATTGCTTGAGCTCAGGTGTGTGACACCAGCCTGCAAGAACCAGACTCGTTTCTACTAAAAATAGAAAAACTAGCTGGGCAGTGTGGCGAGTGTCTGTAGTCCCAGGTACTCAGGAGGCTGAGGTAAGTGGACTGCTTGAGCCCAGCAGTAGTCATCCCTGAAGAGGACTTGAACTAGGTGGGGGAAGTTTACTCCTGAGCAAGTACATTATAAGCAGAGTATGGCTGTAACAGCCAAGGTCAAAGTTCTTTGGGAGTCAGAGTAGGGTGTGAGGAACATTTGGGACCAAGGAAGGATGCATGGAGGACAGGACCTTTGAGCTGAGCCTAAAAGATGAAGCTGAGCTGCTTATGTAGAGTGGGGGTGAGCACACACAATCTGAGAAGAATAAAGAACACGCACAGGTCCATTATTCCACCTGTACGCGGACACTGGACTCTGACGTGGTGCTTCAATAGGCTATCCTTTAAGAGCAGCAGATCCTTTAGGATCACCGCATTAGTAGTATGGGAGACAGGCCGTGATTGTGCAAGCATCTACGAACATGGGGCTCTGATGTCCCTCTGAATCACGACACCTCTGCCAAGAGCTGGGGAATAAGCATAGACCTGCGAACGGAAATGGCAGAAATGGAAATCCCTTCCCACTCTTTGTCTTAACAAGTCCTTGTGCTGGGCACGCCATGTGAGGGGGCAGGCCTGGGTCTTCAGGGAGCCTCCAAAGAAAAGCACAGGCGGGCTCTAAGATAGCAAAGCTGGTGGGGAGACGGGGGAGGCAGCAATGGAAGGACCCTGCAGGGCCCTGAGCTCAGACAGACCCCTGGGCCTTGGGATTCCTGCCCTGCCTTTTGAGGAGGTGGGAGTAAGGCTAGGGATCCAGACGACCCTGCCTTGGCATGAGCTACAAGAGTGTCTGTGCCAGCTCCTCCTGGAGCAGAATGCCAGGGTCTCCAGAGCCAAGTCCTGTGAGGCTGGGAGTCAAAAGTCTACTTATATGGACCTTAGAGTTATTGTAACTTGGTTTAAACCCAGGTTTTCACACTTCATAGATTATTTCTTTTTTATAGACACGGGGTCTCACCATGCTGCCTAGGCTGGTTTCAAACTCCTGGCCTCAAGTGATCCTCCCACCTCAGCCTCCAGAGTGCTGGGATTATAAGCCTGTGCCCAGCCTGGTTGTCGCAGATTTAACCTTAAAAATATAACAGTGTCTCTAAGCCCTGCTTTCCTTCTCTATAAAATAAGCATAATTCTAGGGTTGTCTTGATGATTCAATGAGACAAAATGCGATCGTGTTTCCACAAGGCCTAGCCTACCTTGTTTGATATGAGGATGTCATTGTCCTCATTGCCTGGGCCCTGCCACAATCCAGGGGACTGCGGGCTGGGCAAAGAGGGCAGCTGATGTGGCAGGAGACAGAGCTGCATGAGGAAGGTCAACCCTGACAGCACATCACAGAGGCTTGGCAAAGGCCAGGCCACAGCCTGGGTCCAGCCCCAGTTACCTTCTGACCTGACTGATCCAGCCTCATACCAATAGGACTGACCCAAAACACAGGACAGGCTCTGGATAGTCTTCAGCCCTAGCAGGGTGCTGACTCCCCCTTCCCCAGGAAGGAATAGGAATCCTATTTCCTAAGCAGACCAGATGCTATACTGTGCCCACAGATGCACCTGCTGGTGGCAGACAGGTGTGACAAGCACTTTCCTTACAGCTGGGCTTTTGCACACACTGGCGACACAACCCACATTTGTAGCCACTACCCTAGCAAGATGTCTCCACTCTCTCAACCATTCCTAAACACCCCACTTCACCTCCCATGGCCAGCCAGCAGCCTGAGAGGGGTGTCAGACTGAGCTGTGGCCCCCTGAGAGCTGTTTTTCTGGGGTCCCATGGCAGAAAATACTGCTTATCTCAGTAGCAGTAATGTCTCCCCAGTGGATCCTAGGGCTTATGCACCCAGCGTGGTCTGGGCCTCCAGCTCCAGCCTCCAAGAAGCCCTGTCCCATCAGGTGATGCTTGGACCCTTCTCTGTGCCAGGAGGTAAGGCCCATCTGCCAACTGAGATCTGGCTCTGGGTAAGCAGTCTCACAATTAGGATAGGAGAAGGGGAGGAATGCACCCTTCGGCAAGAGCTCCCACAGGTCTTTATCACCACAGGGTCTCTCCCCGGGGCTACCTGTCCTCTCGGGGTAGAGCACCACGCAGTGTTCATTGAGTGACTCCTAAGCCTCTCTCTGCTGAGGACAGAAAAAGAGCTGAGAGCAATCTGAGCTATGTGAGGTATGCACAAGTATCAGTATGGGACTTCAGTCACACCCCTCCCCCCATGCCCAGGGACAACTGTTTAAAGGTTAGAGGCATTTGGTTCCTGATTAGTCGCCTCACCCATTATCCTCAGGTTCTTAGAATCTGTAGTATGAAGAACAACTTTTAGCCAATCCATTGTTTATATTATTTCATGTAAATTATTGGTAAATAATTTAGATACTGTCTCTTCTTTTTCCCTTTAAAAATCCACTTGTAATTGCTGCTAATCAGAGCATATATGTTAATTTTGCTTCTGTTTTTTTTCCCTTTAGGTCTACACTGCAACAACTATAAATGGATCACTGTGGAGAGGTAGTGTTGGGCAGTGGTGGGCAATACTGACCTTGCCACATCCTAGCTGTGTGACTCTGGGTGACTCACTTGACCTCTCTGGGCTTAGTACAAAATAGAGAGAATAGACATATCTGTCACAGGGGGCTAACGGGATGAGAATTAAACTGCACTCAACACCCATTAAATACTCAATAACAGTTTTTACTAACCTAAAAATAAAATATATAAATATCACAGGTGGAAAGTTTTATGTTCATGTGATTGGTGGAGGATGCACTAATGCCCTCTGGAGGTAAAGAGCCCGCGACTGGCTGATACCAAGTTCCGCCTCTCTACTGGGGACCAGCTGGAGGTCCAGCTCTCCCGGATAGGGGAAATACAAGGGCCTGGATCAAGTCAAGCGATAAAATGATATCTGTAACAACTCAGAAGAGAGTCATTACAGAGATACAATGACCTATTATCAGAGGTCAGAAGAGAGAGATACTCTGGGCATTGAGGAGAAAGGGCTAGGATTTTAGTTGTCATCATTATGAGGGGGAGGCTGTGTATATTTCATGAAGACGCAGAAGAGATTTGACTTCGAACCCTGAAAGAACTTTCTGACTGTTCAAAGAAGGAAAGGGAAGAAAGTCATGCTTAGCAAGTTGGCAGATTTTTTTTTGGAAAAGAGCCAAATAGTAAATATTTCAGGGATTTGTGGGCCACTTTGGGTCTCTTACTGCAGCTACTCAACTCTACTGTTGTAGCGTAAAAGCATCCACAGACGATGTACAGCTAAGCAAGCGTGGCTGTGCTCCAGTAAAACTGTATTTACTAAAGCAGTTGGTGGGTCTTTACTAAAGCCCAGATGACCTGAGACATCCTTGCAGCTCTAAGTACCCGCCCGAGGGTATACTAGAGAAGGCTCTTGGTTGGGGTCCGTGGACGCCACCCCCAGCCTCCCAGACTGACCATGGTGAGGTCATTTTGGGAACTACTATGCTTCACTGGCTGAGCAGCTCTGTCACAACCACGTCCAGTGCCTGTTCAGGCCTCAAAGGACAGATGGGGTGGAGTTGTCAGTGCTCGCCAGAGCATAAACAGTGGCCAGCAAACATCTGTTTCTTCTGCGGTAAGTACCTGGCTGTGCAGACAGAGGCCTGGAAAGACGGCAGATGCCTGAGTCACTGTCCATACCCATGGGGATGCTCCAGACCCCTGGCTGCCCCTTCCATCCTGGACAGATCTGCCCTGCACTGAGTCTGTGGAGGTTGCAGTGAGGCCCCAAGTCATCCATGAAAGCATCAGGGCTGTGGCCGCAAGCACCCTGAGCCTGCGACAGGCAGAGGCAGAGTCTTGCCCCGTGGCAGCCCTGGGGAACCCAGGCACACCTCCAGCGAGCCCAGGATCAGCAGTGCGTGGGGCTCAGCACACAGGTGGATGAGCCTCCCTGGTCCCTGGAAGCTCTGGGTCAGGCTTGGAAGGGCCTCTGAGGAAGTAAGGTCATAGGTCTCTCCAGACACAGGCCCAGATGGAGCTGCCACAGCCCCTCCCTGTGAAGCTGCTGCTGCCACTTCCTTGGTCCTCCTCCTCCTCCAGAGCCCCTGACTCGGATCCACCCTGACACTGCTGTGTTTTGGGGACCTTAGACTAAGAATTATGGCTGCTTTAGCCTGACTTGACCCAAAAGGAGGCCTGAGGGAATGAAGACGTGCACATACGTGTAAGCAGGGAGGGGGAGAATCTCCCACTGACACCACCAGCTTCCTCAGGCCACATCTGGAACCCCTGGGATGGACGAGTGCCTTGCACAGCACCAGGAGAGGCCCAGCCAGGGCCTTGAAGTCCACACCCCTCTGTCCTCCTCCAAAGTCCACCAGTGGGGAGGGAGCTGGCTTTACTGTAAAGTTAGTCAGCTTCGCTGGAAACTTCCCCAGGGCCTGGAGGCTGTCCCAGGAACAATGACCATGGGCTGGAAGGCTACCCTGAGCTCCTGCTATTCTTGGGTAGGGACAGTCTCCCTAGTTCCACACCAGGATTCTCTCAGACAGGGACACCAGCCCTAGTCACAGACTACAGCCCCAGAGATACTCTAGAAGGCACCACATGCCCTCCCTGCCCTCTCCTTCCTCGCTCAGAGGCCCTGTGTGCCAATGGTACAGAGACAGCAGAGGGGCAGTAAAAACCAGCCCAGAGTCTCAGGTGCACTGGGACTCCCCCCTTGATTAATTTATAACTATCACTGGGTCCCATACTGTTTGTAAAACAGATTTCTAGAACAGGCAGTACTTGGTACCAGAGTGGCTTTGCCTGGTGAACGCCACCAGCCACTAGGGGTTGGGCCATAGGCAGCTTCCCCTGACATGGCAGATGGTGGCACTGCCACTCTGCAAAAGTCAAACAGACCCTAGGTCAGAACAGAGCAGTTCCAGCCCAGCTCACAGCAGCCACACTTTTGCTCCCACTACCCAGCCAGCATCAGCAGTGGATGGGACAGGCAAGGGGACATGCCTCTCACTGAGAGTGAGGGGCGGTTGGTGCTGGAAGGAACACAGTGTGCCCCACTGCTCTGTTACAGATACAAGCACAGCCAGGGGAGGAGGGGCGGGGGGGCCTGGGAACCAAATCCTGGCCTTGCAACCTCCCAGCTGGGACCTTGGCTCTCAGAGTCTATTTCTTGACATGAAAAGCGGTGACAAAAATACCCGTCCCTTGATGGGCAGTGGGGAGGATCGTGTTTGCATGCCTGGAATGGGTAAAGGCTCAGGGTGTGGCAGTTGCCAGCATTGTCACCATCACAGGGGACACCCATAAATTCCAGAAACTCAACATCTGTCCACGAGGTGTCACCCAGCCCAAGATGAAGACTTCCCCCACCCCTGCTGCTACCCAGCTCGAAGGACCTCATGCGATGGGACACAGTCCCAGGCTCTCCAGAACTGGCCTGCCCAGCCCACATGGTGGAGTCAGTATCCCCTGCTGTGGCTGCAGGAGAGAGCATTTAAGGAACCCCACTGCCTCCCAGGAAGGCATGAATAAAGGAGCCAGTCCGGAGGCATTCTGGGGTTGGGATCCCCTCAGCTGGGACATGAGCCCACAGATCAGGTGGTGGGTCACTTGGCAAGAGCTCAGTTGGTGCCGGCTCTGGCCCCAGGACCCCTGCCACCCATACTAATCTTTCCTGCCTGGGGTCCCGTCTCTTCCCTAGGATGCCTCCTAAACTGTGCCTTAAGAGGAGAGAACCCGACTTCAAAGTCTCACTCTGCCACTTAGAAGATAGGTGACATTAGGCTTCCTCATCCTTCAAATATAAATACGACCCCCAGCAGGCTATGCCATACACGGCGCCAAGTGGCTTACAGCCTTAGCCCATTGAATGAGACCTTCAGATGAGACAGATGGGAGCATTTCTTCCATAGAAACACCAGGAAACAAAGGACTAGTGACTTTCAATAACTTGCTCATCCAGATCCACAGGATTCTGTAATTCCACTTATTCACCTATCCAAGTAAGTGGATATCCGAGCATGGCTCCTGCTGTGCAGATACCGGACAGGAAGGTAAACGAGAGAGGAGCTTCCTGTCCTAAGGAGCCATCATCTGGCGGAGGAGACAAATAATAAGGCAAACTGTTTCCACAGTGGCAAGTGCCGCGGAGTGAGTACGCGGGTGGTGGGCAGACAGCAGCCTGGGCAGGGGTGGGGTCAGGGAAAGTCCGTGGAAGAACTTCAGACAGATGAGGAGGTGGCCGTGCCCCAAAAAGTGCAAAATCTCTGGGGCATGACCCACCAGGGTGGCGCAGTCCAGGAGCAGAAGGGAAGCCAGCAAAGAGCCTTTGCAATGAGGCTGAACACAGGCTGTGGGGCCACATTAAGGAATGGAGATTTTTCCCCTACGTTTAACAAAAACCATTAGTGGTTTTCAAGTAGGAAGTACAGTGTGACGATTTGCAAATTTGTAAAAGATCACTATGGCCTGAGCTGATGATCACAGTGGCCGGTGGCCCTACTCCCATGGCACTGGGGTAAGAGTTTGGGTAGGGTGGGGCCTGTGGTGGTGTGACAAAGGTACTTGGTCAAATCTCCCCAGGTCCTTCCCTCTCAGCGTCTGGAGTCTTGTGACCCTTGGGCTGGGCCCCCTGGCAGTCATACTTTCACTCTGTCCCTTCAAGCGCCTGTCCCAGGCCCTGCACATAGCTCAGAAAATGTCAGATACTTGACAGACTCACACCTGTGAGGACAATGGGAAGGTCAAAGGGCCCAATCAGGGAAATGACTGACTCAGGGAAATGTCTCCAGGTCCCAGACTAACACTTACTATCTTGGGTGGCGGGAGCTCCGGAAGGCTCTTCTGAGGGGCTGAGGAGTGCTGGCTGGGCTCCCCGTTGGTGAGTGGGCCCTGCTCCTCGGGCACTGCGGGCAGAAGAGAAGGCTTTGGTGAGGGGTGTCCGGCCCCGCTGCAGGATCTCCTTACCCAGGACTGTGTGTTCTATTTGAGCGGGGTTAATTACCCAGGCAGGCAGCCCCTGGGGCTGAAGTTGTTTTTCCTCCAAGAATAGGGTGCAGTAATGCCCCAGCCTTGGGCTTGGGGTTTCTGGCAGGCTCTGCACCTGCTCTCCCACCCGTCCCATGTCAAAAATGGTCTAGCCACAGAGCTTTGGCAAGCAGAGGAGCTGCCTGGCGGTCACTATATTGAGCCACTGTCAGCACCGACCCTGTGATTATGACTCTTTCCTCCCACAGTTTACCCAGAAGGCAAATGGTTCTGGGCAGAGTGGCAAGCCTCATCTGCATGAGTCCTGCTAGGTCCCAGGCTTGCCAGAGCGGCAGGAAGTGGAGAAGCCGCACCGAGGGAGTTAGGCCTTCAGGGAGCTTTTAGGGAAAGCACTTTGGAGCCTGATGTTTCAGCCACCCCAGGGCAGACAGGATCCTGGAAGGTCTGAGCAGCAAAGCCACCAGCCCTGGTGGTTGATGTCTCAAAGGCAAGCCTTTAACAGGACTGAGTGCTTTGCACTGCTGTGTTCCCACCTCTCTCTACGCTTGTGCATTTGAGTCACAGGCTTGGATGTTGGGAGGTGGAGATTCTTACCCCTGCTCCTCTGCAACTTGGCAGCTCTGCAAACCTCTAGGTCTCCCTAGGGTCCTGCCAGACCCACTGCGGGAGGTTTTAAGGGAAAGGCAGAGAGCAGCACAAGCAGAAGAGTGAGGCACCATGGAAGACACCCCGTGTCCTTCCCCTGGAAGAGAAAATGCTCTGCCAGACAGGGAGAGCACCTCCGAGCCTCATCTTTGACTAGTAAGGCAGCTGCTGACACCACCATTTCTCTCCCTTCCTCCCCAAAACAGACTTCTATCAAAAGACACAAAGCTGTGGGACTAGCACCACACAGCTGCTTTCTTTGAACATCTGAATTATGACTTCCTGTCTCTGCCATGATGCTGGGAACAGCGAAGTTTAGGGCCAGATTCCTCATTCAACAGGCAAGGAGGGGGGTGGTGCATTGAAATATCCCCAAAATACATCGACCCAAAATACCACCAACCAAAATGTGGCTTCCAAAAATAACTCCACTGAGCCAGCCTGTGTGCCGGCTGGGGGTGGGGGACTGGGGACAGGGCTGTCTTCTGCCGTCCCATCCACCAGCCCAGCCCGTACCTTTGTCTTGAGACTCAGCATCCTGTTGCTTGTTGACGGTCACTTTGTTCATATAAATGTACTCCTCATCAGAACCTGCAGGAGGAGGATGGGAGACAGGGCTTCATGTGACTTCCTGAAAGGAAAAGGCCTCCAGACAGAAACCCTGTCCCCCTAGAGACACGTTCATCTGCTCGAGTTCCAAGAAACTATACAGCATTTTAATTGATTGAAAGAGCCCATCATAGAGAGAGCTGACAGATTGCCAACAAAGAAATGACAAGTTGCTGACTGCTAGGTTTCCAGCTGGCAGGGAGTGGGATGGGGAGGGGACAGGGGAGGATACAGAGAGATGGGAAGGTACTAGTTTAAGAAATAAAAATCTCTAGTCTTTTATAGAAAAGAACCCAAACCTCAAAGATCTGTCAAGTAGAGATGCCTCTGGGTTTCTTGGCATTTCATTCAAATTATATTCCCTATCTGTCATTCTCACTCTAGTCTGAATTACTTGGATAGGCTAATCCGAGTGATGTCTGGATAAGAGAGGTCACACTGAGGACCTGAATGTTTAGTTCCCAGGCCTTTAGGTACCCTTGTGGTTTGGGGGGTGAGGAGGGCTGAACAGTCAAATCATGAGTTCCAAAAGGGGTGAGCCTGCTGGAACCAGAACTAGGAAGCCATGAGCTGCCTGCTCTACCCTACAGGTTGTACACTGTGGTAGAACAACCAACGCCTTCCTTTAAAACGGCCCATCATAGCTCCTTTAAAACAGCTTTCAACATGTTAAGTCACCTTTCCAGTGCCTATTTGGACAGAGAAAAGCTAGTCAGCTAACTTTTGCATGGTTTCCAATTCCCCAAGGATCCTTTCTTCAGAGGAAACTCATCCTAGAGTTTCTCTTCTTCAAAATCCTCTTGAATTTCTTCTGCGGCCCTTAATTTGCATTTCCTAGAAACTTGTGGCTGATAAATTCCAGGGGTTGGAGACTGTGCCCTGAGCCAAGGGACCTGATTCAAACCCCTGGCGAAGGAAGCAGTGCCATGTCAGTCTGTCCCATGGCCACAGAACGCCAAGACTCCAGCCCACAGGCCTGCAAAAGCAGAGACCTGAGGACTAAGAGGAACAGGAGGGGGCTGGAAAGGCCCTCAGCCATCAGCCCCCAGGAGTATCACCTCAGTGCCCAGCCCCGCCAGGAAAGTCAGCAAGGTCACCCCACAGTGTAGCAGGAAAGGGAGAAGCTAGAAGGTACAGATGGAGCTAACTGCACCCTGCACACTTCCCCCAGCTCAGACACACAGGAGGCTGTGTCAGCACCTTCTCTGGAACGTGGCAGAGAAAAAGTGCCTGGCAGCGGGGGTGTGTGTGTGTGTGAGCGATGGCTCTCAGCCAAGCTGTGCCATAATGGGCATAGTTCTGGGCAAAACTTCTAACAGATATGCCTCAGTTATCTTATCTGCAGAGTATGGAAAAGAATCATGATGAAATAAATCCTTCCCGTTTTGACCCAACCCTGAAGTTCTCAAGAATACAAGGCTCGGCTCGGCGCCTATAGCTCAACCGGCTAGGGCGCCCGCCACGTACACCTAAGGTGGCGGGTTCGAA